GGTGAGTTTTATAATTTGCGGGACGTATATTGACTCCAATTTGATTTAACTCAACAAAACTGAGCAATTACGAGGAGCGTTACATGAGCATACATGAGGTTCAACTCTTTCCCAACGACTACATCAGTCAAACCCTCAAAAGGCGAACATTGTGACACATGAACAACTCAAACACTCAGAAAACGATACATTGTGCGAATCATACGACATTGCTCGCCGCCCTAACGGATGTGACGTACTACCGTTGCAAAGAGCGTGCGCCCAAGCAATCTATTGGATTTGACGCCATCCAGGTGTACGGTAAAAAAGCCTGTGCTGCCAGCACAGTGCTGGGGATTGAACCTTCGACCGTCATGAAAACTCCAAACTCCGCGCCAACTTCCGGCGGTCCACCGGCGGCGGAGTCCGCTGGTGGTTGCGAAAAACCCTCAGCTAGCACAGTTTTGCAACACAGGGAAAAATTGCATTAGTGATGATACCAATTGCAGGAAGAGCAACAGTTGCACAACTGTACGTTGCAAAAATGAATGACAGTTGCAAAAATCATTTTACCCCCCTAAGAAAGGCCAGCCGGGAGCCCATTCAGCCGAGTTGCACAACGCGGAGATCGACAGTAGAGCGAGAGTCCAGGTGTATATTAGCGGCCTACCCTTCCATTGGACCTTTCGAGAGACGAAGGGTTTGATCGGTGAGCTCTCTAATGGCGACTTGTCGGTGTATGTTACCATGTTCCCCAGGAAGGGCACTGCCATCGTAAAGCTCAAGACAGATGTCGAAGCTGAGAGAGTGATACAATTATTGAACGGCAAGCAGATTGGTGGGCGGGTTGTGTCGGCTAAGCAAGATAAGTTCGCGCAGAAGACAGTTGATAGCAATCCACAGGTCAATCTGAGTGAGGCACAGCAGAGAGTGTGCCAGTTAGACGGCTCCTCAGCGGAGGAGAGTAGTAGCTCGGCGAAATGTCATATCCTTGCAGTCGAGACCGGCGTTTTTGATGATAGCCATTGGGCGAAAACCTCTTTGGAGGAGAGACTATCGAGTCAACAGTGTCAAAAGCGAATCGTACCGGATATTGTGGCGTTATGCCAGACCAGCAAGGGTGTCGAGTCCGTTGAGGCTAAGAGCTTCGAGAGCAACATTGAGAACATTGAGAGTAAGAGCTTCGAGAGCAGCATCGAGAACGTCGAGAAAGCTTACGACGATATCGAGGTTGAGAACATCGAGAGTTGCAGGTTTAGGCTTCGAGAGGGCCCGAAGCTCAGGTAACCTACGACGAAGAGATTGGCTGTCACATACATGCCCAATGGGTTGCCGACCGTGGCAGTAAGTCTTCAAGGCAGGGTCACTACGGTCGCGCTCCTTGTTACAGGAGCGACAGACGTGTTCGTGTCCAGTACTTTATACCGTCGGTTGAAGGCACAGTCGCCAGGCCTGGAGTTGAAGCAAGGTGACATATCGGTGAAGTTGCTCGATGGAGGAGCGGTGAAGATTCAGGGGGTGTTGGAGGCTCTGGCCGTTGGGTTCGGTCATCAGGCTAGGATAGTCGAGGCCTACGTCTTAGACTCTGCTCACTGGGAGCTGGATCTACCCCGATGGGTGCTGGGTAGCTGTGTTTGGGTGATGGCGGGTAACGACTACCTACTCTTCGATGAGCCTGAGGTCACCCCTCACGGGGAGTGCAGCAGGCGAGGGAGACAGGCGCTAATACAGTCGAGAGAAGCCGATCTCTCCGGACACGAAGAGTGTGGCCAGCTGTCGTAAAGGCCCTTTGGATTGATGATCGTAGATCAAGCAGAATTATGATGCCATCAGAGGCCGAGACTTGAAGATCACACAGAGGCTGGCCAAGAGACCTGAAGAGCTAGCAGCGTATGAAGCGGCCGTGGACGAGCTCTTGAAGTCCGGGGGGGTCGAGGAACTCCCACTGGCGGAGGACCCGAGGAGATGAGCTTACCACTATATGTGTGGGGTTCCGGTCCTCGCCAATCAGCAAAAGTTCACTCGCTGTCGTATTTGCATCGACGCTCGAGAGCTTAACAACTTCACGAATAAAGAAGGGGACGAGGAGGCCGCGGACATGGACCTACAGTCACGGATCCTAGAGTGGCGAGCATCAAAGCGAGTTGATTGTTAGGATCTCAAGAAGGCCTTCTGGTCGGTTTACATCGATGAATCGGATGTGAAGTGGTTGGGGATGTGCGTCGAGTCGAAGATCATAAGCTGGATCCATGTCCCTTTCGGGACGAATTGGTCCCCTTGGGCCCTCTCCTCGGTCTTGGGAAAGATTCTCAAACAGATCGGGGGGACGGGCGGTGCCGAAGCTATCTGCTTCTATGTCGACGATGTCCTTCTGCGAGGGGACAGTTGCTCGGAGGTGTCGAAGATTCGTCGGGAGTTGGTTCCCGCATTAGAAGAGCGGGGGTTCGAAGTCCACCAGGACAAGCGAATGTCCAATCTCGACACGGATGAAGACTGTATAGGTCAAGAGGTATCTAAGAAGAATATTCTCAGCGAGAAGTTCAGAACAGGAGGGTGGCTCAGTTACGACTGGCTCTGTGGCGAGCGAGTTGACGTGTTTGATGTGCGCTTGCGGCAGATAGAATTGGCGAAGACATCCAAGGTCACGGAGTCTGCCCTGAGATCAGCATTCGGCAAGTTCTTCGACCCCATGGGTCTTTTCGCAGAAGTGTCCTTGGAGCTCAGATGGGCGGCTCGGTTGGCTCATGAGCGACTGAAGCAGAGGAGGAAGGACTTCGAAGATGGTATGGACATTCTGGACGAGGAGACGGCATCTATTATATTGAGTACCGTTACTGCATGTAATTCTTTCCTGCAATCTGATCGTATTCCCCCCCCTCGCTATCTTGATGTGTCTACTTTATTCGTCTTCGTCGATGCCTCTGAGGCCTGCATTGCTATTGATATTCGAGTCGGATCGAGTGCTCGTATCTTTGCTTAGTTTAGTGTGACTCCGGGAGGCACGATTCCCAGGAGAGAATTGGAAGCAATGCGCCTCGGTGTTGAGCAATTGAATAGCATTTTTACGGCATTGAGACCTAAAGTCACGAGATCTGTCATCCTCGGTATTACATTATTCCGTTTGAGAGCAGTCTTGTCAGGCCACGGACAGCAGATGTGCTCACGATCACCTAAGCCAGAGCTTACTAGATTACTCGCAATTAAGTCTACATGTTCTGATATTATTGAATGCAGTCCTAACATTGATTCGCAATTTCGTCATATCCCTTCTCAATACAATGTTTCTGATCGGTTGACGAGACCGCTTGGCACACCATTGAGAGATGATTCCCCTCCGTAGAACAAGTAATTCAAGTCGTTGATGCTGACTCGATTGTCTCCTTTGATAGATCAGTCATGGCTACTTCGACGGCTCCGATGAGATGGTCTCCGAGG